CGGCGAGGCCACACGGTCAGCCCTGTCACAGGCCACTCCTTTCCCTGGCTGTAGTGCAAGATCACACTTAAAAACAAAGAGAATTGGGGCAGCCACAGTGACCACGTGTTCCTATGTGAACTAGTCACCAAGCAATACATTTTAAAGGTTAGTTGTCTTATGAGTCGATTACAGAATGAGCACGTGTCCCTGATACTTACCTGCTCCTTTACCTTCTGCTGTGCCCCCCACTCCTTCCTGCAGGCCAGGCTCCACCTGGCCTCGTCCTAGTCAACCTAAAGGACGTCCATCCACGTTGCCTGCAGCACACACCTGCTCGGGAGGATTTCTCTCAGCTTTTGCTCTTCTGAGCAGCTTTTCACTTCAATCTCAGTTTCTGGGTTTTTTTTTTTTTTTTTTTTTGAGACGCTTCTTGCTCTGACACCCAGGCTGAAGTGTGATGGTGCAGTCACAGCTCACTGCAGCTTCCGACTCCTGGACTCAAGCAATCTTCCTGCCTCACGCTCCTGAATAGTTGGGACTACAGGTGCACACCACCATGCCTGGCTGATTTTTAAATTTTTTGTAGAGATGAAGTCTCACTTATTGCCCAGGCTGGTCTACAACTCATGTGCTCAAGTGATCCTCTTGCCTTGGCTTCCTAAAGTGCTGGTGTTAGAGGTATGAGACACAGTCCCCACCTCAATCTTAGTTTTGAAGGGTGTTCTTCATAGATGTAGAGTTCTGGATTGCCAGTTTTTGTGGCTCGGTATTTTAAAGATCGGGCTCCATGGTTTCTGATGAGAAGTCAGGGTGTTTTTCTTATCCCTGTTTCTTTCTTTCTTTCTTTCTTTTTTTTTTCAAACTTTGCATCCTACTCCATGTGAGTAAATAAGAATTTTTTTTTTTTTTTTTGGAAAGAGAAAAAGAATAATAAGAAAAAGAATAAAGAAGAGGAAGAAAGAGAAAGAGGAAGAGGGAGAGAGAATGGGGGTATTGCTTTGTTGCCTGGGCTAGAATGCAGTCTAAATATGGGTATGCCTATAATTGTCCTTAATGATGGAGACATGAAAGAAAATGAGGGAAGAGAGTAACAAACAAGGAGCCAACCAACATTTCGTTTAAACTTCTAAGTTGATATGATGTGGTACTGATAAGAGTATATTTTGTGTAAAGTGGAGAGCTCTATAAATGTTAATTACGTCCACTTGTTCCTGATCTGAGTTCAAGTCCTGGATATCGTTGTTAATTTTCTGTCTCATTGATCTGTCTAATATTAATGTTGAAGTCTCCCACTATTATTGTGTGGGAGTCTAAGTCTCTTTATAAGTCTTGTATGTCTGGGTATTCCTGTATTGGGTGCGTATATATTTAGGACCTTTAACTCTTCTTGTTGTTGCATTGATTCTTTTATCATTATATAATGTCCTTCTTTGCTTCTTTTGATCTTTGTTGCTTTAAATACTATTTTATCAGAGGCAAAAATTGTAACTTCTGCTTTTTATTTATTTATTTTTGCTCTCTGGTTGGTTGGTAAGTCTCTCTCCATCCCTTGTTTTGAGTCTTTGTGTATCCTTGAATGTGAGATGGGTCTGGATGCAGCATACAGTTATAGTTTTTTGTCCAAATTGGCTGTCTGTCTTTGAATTGGGGAATTTAGTCAATTTAAATTTAGAATTAATAATGATATATTACTTTTTGGTATTTTTTAGAAAGACTGATACTGTTTGTTCCTTTCTATGTGTAGTGGTTCTTTCAGAAGCTCTTGTAAAGCAGGCCTGGTGGTGATGAAATCTCTGAGTGCTTGCTTGTTCACAAAAAACTTTATTTTTCCTTCACTTATGAAGCTTAGTTTGGCGGGATGTGAAATTCTGGGTTGAAAGTTCTTTTCTTTAAGGATGTTGAATATTGGTCCCCACGCTCTTCTGGCTTGTAGGGTTTCTGCTGAGAGATCTGCTGTAAGTCTGATAGGCTTCCCCTTGTGGGTAACCTGACCTTTCTCTCTGGCTGCCCTTAGTATTTTCTCCTTCATTTCAACCCTGGTGAATCTGACGATTATGTGCCTTGGGTTGCTCTTCTTGAGGAATATCTTTGTGGTGTTCTCTGTATTACCTGGAGTTGAATATTATTCTGCCTTACTAGGTTGGGAAAATTTTCCTGAATAATATCCTGAAGCGTATTTTCTAGCTTGGATTCATTCTCTTTGTCACATTCAGGTACACCTATCAAGCGTAGATTAGGTCTTTTCACATAGTCCCATATTTCTTGGAGACTTTGCTCGTTCCTTTTTATCCTTTTTTCTCTAATCTTGTCTTCTCGTTTTATTTCATTGAGTTGGTCTTCGACCTCTGATATCCTTTCTTCTGCTTGATCAATTCGGCTGTTAAAACTTGTGCATACTTCACGTAGTTCCCGTATTGTGTTTTTCAGCTCCATCAATTCACTTATTTTCCTCTCTAAATTTTGTATTCTTGTTGACATTTCGTCAAACCTTTTTTCAAAGTTCTTAGTTTCTTTAGATTGTGTTAGAACAAGTTCTTTTAATTCACAGAAGTTTCTTATTATCCACGTTTTGAAGCCTGCTTCTGTAATTGGAACACACTTGTTCTCCATCAAGCCTTGTTTCGTTGCTGATGAGGAACTGGGATCCCCTGCTGAGGAAGAGGCGTTCTGATCTTGGGTATTCTCAGCCTTTTTTGACTGTTTTCTTCCCTTCGTTGTAGATTTATCCATCTGTGGTCTTTATAATTACCGTCTTTGTAATTGGGTTTCTGAGTGGACGTCCAACTTATTGATTCTCAGCGCCGAAATCTGAGCAACCCACTGCGCCGACTAAGTCAGCGGCGTTAAGATTGATGGTGCTTTTCTGACTCTGCACCAAGAACCGACGCTCCAAGGCGCCGGCAAAACCGCCTCGCCGGTCACAAGAGTCGCGCTGGCGACCCGTGGGTCTCCTCCGCTGGGAATCTCCTGGTGCGTGAGCAACAAGAATTCATGTGAAGGTGTGGCGTCCTCTCGTTCTTTGCGTTGTCACTGGGAGCTACAATCCCGAGCTGCTAGTGATCAGCCATCTTGGATCTCTCGAAATCCCTGTTTCTTTGTATGTAGTGTCTTCCTGCCACTGCTTCTGAGATGTGTGCCTTCATTTTTGGTTTTCATCAGTTTATTATCTGCCTGGATGTGGTTTTCTTTATATTTATCCTACTGGGGTTTTTCTGAGATTCCTGGATTTGTAAGTTGTTGTTCTTTGAATTCAAATTTGGTGTATTTAAAAATTTTAACTATTGTACTTTTCAGTTCTAGGATTCCCATTTAAAAATAGTTTCAGTTCTCTACTGAGATTCCCACTTTGTCCATTCATGAAGATGGCGCTTTCCTCTAATTATCTGAGCACGGTTTTCTTGGTATTTCAGAGCCTGTTTATAATAGCTGCTTACAGTCATTGTGTGCTGGGTCCAGTAGCTACGCCATCTTTGTCTTTTTTTTTCTCTGTTTTTAACAGGGAATTGCATTTTCCTATATCTTTTGATATCTGATTTTTTTTTGAGACAGGGTCTTGCTCTGTTGCCCTGTCTGGAGTTCAACGGTGTGATCATAACTCATTGCAGCCCCTACCATCCAGGCTCAATAGGTCTTCCCGCCTCAACTTACCTAGTAGCTGGGACCACAAGCATGAGCCACCGTGTCTGGCTAATTTTTAAACATTTTTTTTAGAGACAGAGTCTCACTATGTTGCCCAGGTTGGTCTCAAACTCCTGGCCTCAAGCAGGCTTCCCATCTTGGCCTCCCAGAGTGCTGGGATTGCAGGCATGAACAACCGTGCCTGGCCAGTATCTGATGATTTTGATTGTATGTGAGCCATTATAATAATGCATTTGCAGACTCTGAGCTCTGTCGTGTTTCTGATTTTTGTTCTAGCCGTCGGTTACTGGAGGATGACCTTGACCTTGTGCCGTGTTTGTTGAACACTTTACTGGGTGGGTCTCTGGGAATTGTCTACAACTTGGAACACTCTGTATCTTGGTGGGAGTCACATTCCACACTGTCTTCCCTAAAACTCGTGTTGGGATTGGTTTCGGCTTTGCATGGGCTGGGCCGGGCGGGTCGCACTCCCTTCTGTGGTCCTTACTCATTTGGTGCCGGGCTGTGGGGGTCTGGGCTGGATGTCGGCGTGGGGGCTGCAGCGGAGGCTCTGCTGTCATTCCTCTCGCAGCTTCTCTCTGGTGAGAAGCTTCTCTCTGTGACTCTGCGGTGGCCTTACCCTGGGAAGGTACCTCCCCGCCCCATCCCCAGATTCTCAGCCGACTCTCACACTGCGGGGTCTGCCCTCCACACCGACCCTTCCTCTGCTTCCCTGCCCCTCAGATGCCAGGGCTTCGACTGCCTGGGCACCGGCCCCTCCCTCCTCGGCAATTGTATCCTGCTGCAACTCCAGCTGCTAGCACTGCCCTTTGGAAGCGTGCCCCAGCAGAGAGCTGGGGAGTGGGAGTTTCTTCTTTCTCCTGTTTCTGCTCTTTCAGGAATCACAGTCTGCACTGCCAGTTGACCGCTGCCTGAAAACGAGTATCTCGTAAATCTCAGCCGTGCCGCTGATAGAGTGGCCAGCTCTGCACACTCCCGGCGGTAGCGGTCCCAGTAGGGTTACGTTGTCCGTGTTCACTTCTGGTCTCTTCCCCCAAGTTTCTGCTTGATGCAACAGAAGCTGTGGTTCGAGGAGGCCCTCTGGGAACCAGTCATGTCTGCTTCAGTGTAGGACTAATGAAGGGAGGCAGGTATCAGCCAGTTGTGCATCACCGATACATTTGGGCAGCTTTCCAAATGTAACAAGCACTTGAAGAAGGTGCAATTAGTTATGAAACTAAGGGCCAAATAAAAAACATGAGCATCTACAACAGAAAACTGAGTTCCAGGAAACACCCTTGAGGAAGAACAACAAGGAAGACAGCAGGCGCACTTCTGTGCTGGGGTTGCCTGGGTCCAGGTATAAAGGCTGCCCGGGAAGCCATCTCCACACATCACTGCCCTCCGCCCCGACCTTATCCAGCCACACGCCACCATGTGCCACACCAGCTGCTCCTCAGGCTGCCAGCCAGCCTGCTGTGTGCCCAGCTCCTGCCAGGCATCCTGCTGCATGCCCGTGGGCTGTCAGTCCTCCGTGTGTGTGCCCGTGAGCTGCAGGCCAGCCCTGTGCGTGCCTGTGAGATGCCAGTCCTCCGTGTGTGTGCCAGTGAGATGCCAGTCCTCTGTGTGTGTGCCTGTGAGCTACAGGCCTGTTGTGTGTGTGGCCCCCTCCTGCCAGTCCTCCGGGTGCTGCCAGCCCTCCTGCACCAGCATCCTCTGCAGACCTATCTCCTGCAGCATCCCTTCCTGCTGCTGACCACGAGTGTCCAGACCTGCTGTTCCCGGTGCAGACGGGGCCACACCTGTACCCTCCGAGGATGAGTCCTCGGTTGTTCTTCTGCACTTGGGGCTAGTGAAAAGCATGCTCCGTGAGCCTTCTGAATTCTGGGTTGAGAATGTGACAGAATGATCTGGAGCCCTCGCTGACCTTGCTCATCCTCCTAGAGAAGTCTGGGGTCCCAGATATATTCTCCGACCCCGTGAGAGCCAAATAAACCCGCTTTCCCCATGCAGCTCTGTCTCTGGTCTTTCTTTTTAATTCCTATGTTCCCCATCATCTATTGTGCCGATTACATAGAATGCACTGCTAAACGCTCTTCAGCAGTCCTGTCGCACAGTGCTCGTCAGAAGGTGGTGTCCCGGGTGGAGGGCGTGGCTGCAGATGCCCATATGGTGTCTGCTAAGGCTCCCAGGGCCCAGGTGCAGTGGTCACAGCGGCGACTTTCCCGCCTGTGGTGGAGTGGTCTTGCTTCCCCACCGGCTGTCCACTCCTGCTGCAGCCTAGCAAGCCCTGCCCGGAAGGCCAAAGCTTCAGAGCACTGAGGACTGGGTTTTCCCATGTGGTTGGTAGACATCCTATTTCTCAGGTCATGGAGGATCTCAGGTTTACAGACCTGGATTAGTTCTGCAGCACATACTGTCATTACTGGTACACAAAGGCCCAGTTTTTACTGATTGACTGATGATCAATTACTGAGAATTCTAATATAATAACCCTCCCCATGAACCCACTGCCTGAGATCGTATTGATAATGAGTACATCATCAATAATTTGCCATGAACTTCTTGGGGCCGCCACTGTTGGGACTGTGTGCTTCTTTTTTTCTGAGACAGAACTTTGCTCTTGTTGCCCAGGCTGGAGTGCAATGGCGCAATCTCAATTCACCGCAACCTCCCGCCTCCCGGGTTCAAGCAATTTTCCTACCTCAGCCTCCTGAGTAGCTGGGATTACAGGGGCACGCCACCACGCCCAGCTAATTTTATATTTTTAGTGGAGACAGGGTTTCACCATGTTGACCAGGATGGTCCTGATCTCTTGACCTTGCGAGCTGCCCGCTTCAGCCTCCCAAAGTGCTGGGATCACAGGCCATGTGCTTCTTATTCTGTTACTTTCGAGAAAAAGTAGAGTCGAGTCGTATCTCTGTGTATTCCTCAAATGTGTGTGTTCTAATTGAGTAATTTCTGATGACGTGGAAAGGGAATGTAAGGTGGAGCTCGCTTTTCCCAGTCTGTGCTGGTGGCATTGCTCTTCCCATTTCCCCTGGACGGGCGCCTCCTTCTCGGGGGCTCTGCTGTGACTGTCACAGGTTAAACCTTCCCCAGTAGAAGGGCCAGCCCTCTTGCCCTAGGAACCTGCTATTCCAGATAGAACGGTCCCCCCAGAAACATTCTCACTACTGGTGCCTTAGATGCCAAGCTTTTTATTTGCCTTGGAGGCAGGTGATGAGTTTAGAGTTGAAAAACTGGTTTCATAATCTTTTAGGCAAGGTTGTCAGGGACCTATTGTGTTGTTTAAATTGGGGGGCTTTGGATAAAACTGAGCAAGAAATGGAACTAATCAACTCAGACATATAAATGCTTGCAGCTGAGCACATTCAAACCCATGAACACATCCAGTGTGTGCACTACACAACGTGCACACACTTAGGCACACATGTAAGCACGCTGGTCCCCGAGGTTGGGAGTTGGAGGTGAAACTGGAAATCAGAGCATGAGAGGAGGGAGGGTTGGTAACCAAAAAATGCTTCTGGAGACCCTCCCAACCCTGTGCTCAGGAGAAGCATGGACGAGGCCCAGCTCAGCCCCCGCCCTCCAGAGCTGCGGGGCCCTCAGGGCCACTTGGAGCCCACATTCTGTGCTGCTAATCTTCTGCATGGAGCATGTGTTAGCGTGTCCAGGTTTTCGTGTGGACATATTTGTTTCTTTCCTTTGGGTAAATGTCTAGGAGTGGAATAGCTGGGTCATATGCTAATAAATGCAACTTTATAGTAGGTCTTGAAATCAACTTGTGTGAGTTCTCCAATTTTGTTCTTCTTTTAAGTTGCTTAGGCTACTCGAGTTTCCTTTTCCATATAGATATTTAAATGACCTTGTCAGTATCTGTAAAATTTATGCTGATATTTTGATTAGGAGTGTATTGAAACTAAAGATCAATCAGAGGAGAGTTGATATATCCAGCAATCTGTAACGTGGTCTATTTATTTAGGTTTTCTCTGATTTTCTTATCAGTATTTTGTAGTTTTCAATATACACATTTTATATGTTTCCCCTAGAATTTATCCCTAAGTATTTTATAATGTTTAATGGTATTATGGTACTATTTTTAAGTTTCAACTTTTGATTGTTTGTTGCTAGTATATTAAAATAAAATTGATTTTTATATATTGACATTTTTTCTTTGACCTCGTTAAATTCACTTCCTAGTTCTTGTAGCTTTATTGTAGAATTTTTGGGATTTTTCTACATAGGTAATAATGTAATACATTAGTAGAGACGGTGTTATTTCTTCCTTTCCAGCCTGCATACCTTTTGCTTCTTATTCTTCCTTTATTGCACTGTTTAGGAAGTTCAGTATGGTAATAAATAGCAGAGGTAAAAGTGAAGGTTCTTGCTTTATTCTTGATTTTAAGGGGAAAGCATATAATCTTTCATCATTAAGTATGACATTAGCTATAGGTTTTTCACAGATGCTCTTTAAAAGAAGCTCTTTTTATTTTTAGTTTGCTAGCAGTTTTTATTCTGAATGGATGTTGAATTTTGTCGAAAGCCTTTTCTGAATCTACTACGATAATAATATGGGACTTCCTCTTTAGTCTGTTGATATAGTGAATTAAGTAAGTTGATTTTTTAACACTGAACCAACCTTGCATTCTTGGGATAAGTCCCAAACGATCACAACCTTTTATCTCTTTTACATATTTCTGGATTAAATTTGCTAGTATTTGGTTGAGATTTTTTGTGTATTATTAATAGTATGTAGTCTTCTTATAATACTTTGTTCAAATTTGATATCAAGATTATGCTGGCCCTATAAATTTAATTGGGAATGATTCCTTTCCTTCTATTTTCTGGAAGAGTTCCCGTAGAATTGGTTATATTTCTTCTTTAAATGTTTGGTAGAATTTTCCAGGGAAGCCATTTGTCCCTAGTTTTGTTTGCTGAAAGATTTTAACTGCAAATTCAACTTCTTTAATAGATGTGATACTATTCAGGTTATCTACTTCTCTGGAAAAAGCTTTCATATTTTTGTCTTTTAAAAAATGTGCCAAATTTATATAAGTTACCAAATTTAGTGGTATGAAGTTGTTTACATCATTCCTCTGTCATGTTTTTAGTAATCATAAGATTTGTAATGATGTCTCTTTTTCACTCCTAATATTGCTATTTTGTGTTTCTTCTTTCTTTTTATTATAATTTTCCTGATTAGTCTGGCTAGATGCTTATTTATTTCATTATTCTTTTCAAAGAAGCAGTTTTTAGTTTCATTGAATTTTTTTCCATTTTCTGCTTTATTTTTTTTTGTAGATTTTAAAATTATTTCATGTCTTTTGTTTATTTAGAGTTTAATTTGCCTTTTTTTTCCCTGTAAAGTGCTAACTTAGATAATTGATTTTAGGACTTTCTTCCATGTGAATATAAGCACTTACTGATATAATTTTATCCCTCTAAACACTATTTTAGCCATGTTCCATATGTTTTGACATATTGTCTTTTCATTTGCATTTAATTCAAAATATTTTCTAATTTCTCTTGTGATTCTTTTTTGAACCTTTTTGTGATTCTTTTTAGAAGTGTGTTGGTTAATTTACAATTCTGCAGGTGTTTTTAGCTATCATTTTGTTGTTAGTGTCTAATTTAATTTCTTTGCAGTCAGAGCACATACATTGTATTAGTTCAACTTTTTTACATGGATTGATGTTTATTTTATGGCACAGAAAATAGTCTTTTTGGTGAATGTTTCACATGTGCTTGAGAAGAATGTGTATGTGTTATTGTTGGGTGGAGTGTTTTGTAAGCATCCATTAGGTCAAGCTGAATGATGGTGTTGTCCAGGCCTTCTGTATCCTTCCTGATTTCCTGTCTACTTGTTCTCTTGAAGCTGAAGTCCAATGATGGCTCTGATTTGTCTGTTTCTCCTTTCCTGTCTGAGTTTTTTTGTTGCATGTGTTTGGAAACTTAGCTGTTTGGTGCTTACACTTTTAGAATTGTGATGTTTTCATGATGAATTGATGCTTTATCATTATGGAATATTCCTTTTCATCCCCAGTAATATTTCTTTTGTGAAGTTGACTTTGTTTGATATTAATATAGCCATTCCAATTTTCTTTGATTAATGTTTGTGTGGTATACTTTTCCATCTGTTTACTTTTAACCTATCTACTTTTTTTTTTTTTTTTTTTTTAAATAAAGATGGGGTTTCTCCATGATGGCCAGCTGGTCTTGAACTCCTGACCTCAGGTGATCCACCCACCTCGGCCTCCCAAACTGCTAGGATTACAGGCATGAGCTACCAGCACCTGGTCCTTATCTATGTTTTTATATTTAATCTGAGGCTTCTGGCAGATAGAATATAGTTGCATCCTGAATTATTTAATCCAATTAAAAATCTGTGTCTTTGGTTTTGGTTTTGATATTTAGATAATTTGCATTTAATTTAATTGCTTGATCTACTTAAATGTAAAATATCAGTTTGCTAATTGTATTCTATTTGTTCTATCTGTTCCTTTTTATTTTTTCCCTCTTTCTATGCCACTTTTTGGTTTAGTATTCCTAGTTATTCCGTTTTATATCACTTTTGGCATACATCTTGATATAGTTTGGATTTGTGTCCCCGCCCAAATTTCATGTTGAATTGTAGTCCCCAGTGTTGGAGGTGGGGTCTGCTGGGAGGTGATTGGATTGTGGAGGTGGATTTCTTCTAAGTGGTTAGCACCATCCCCTTGGGAGACCTGGTGTTTAAAGGCATGTGGCCCCTCCCCTGTCTCTCTCTCTTGCCCCTGCTCTGGCCACATGATGTGCCTGCTTCCCCTTCACCATCCGCCATGCTTGTAAATTTCCTTACAATTCTGCCTCCCCAGAAACTGAGCAGATTCCAGTATTATGCTTCCTGTACAGTTTGCAGAACTGTGAGCCAATGAAACAACCTTTCTTTCTAAGTCACTCAGTCTCAGGTATTTCCTTATAGCAAGGCAATAATAGCCTAATATGTCTTTTCAAACTTATTTGGCCAAAG